GGGAAATCTGTATTAGACTATGTTGCAGTTCAAGCTGATATTCTCAACACAATTTCAGACTTTAAAGTACATGAACGGCATCCGGATTCTGACCACTGTCCTATACATTTTAATCTCAACCTAGGTCAGTTCAAAATTAAAGATAGAGCCAGCAAAAACATGCAGAATTTACCTTACTCTTACTTTAAATGGGATCCTACATTAAAGAAACAATTCACTGAGCTATTGGATGCTAATATTAACAATGGTTTACTTGAGAAATTTTATGTTGATGTTGGTTCAAATACCAACTCAGATTGTTTACTACAGTCTCTTAAACATGTAATATATGACACTTCTGATAAAATATTCCCACTTAAACATCTAAAGAAAAGTACTAAAAAGTTCCCAATGAACCCATGGTTTAATAGTGAATGCAAGAAATTGAAAAAGGATTTACATTCTGCCATTAAGCAGAAGCTACCAAATAACATTATTGCTGATTTACAGAGAAAGTACAATCAAACTAAACAACATGAAAAAAGAGCATATCAGTCAAATCTATTAAAATCTCTCATTTCTTTCAAATCTCAAAATCCAACAGAATTCTGGAAAATGATAAACAGTATTCCAGGAAGCAGTAATACAAATGAAATCCCTATTGAGGCATCAGAAATTTTTTGTGCATTTGAAAAGTTGGGTAAGAACCCCAAAATTGACTATTTTGATGACGTAGCATTAAAAGAGATGCAATTATTTATTGATGAATATGATACAAATGGTGTTTGCACAGGGGAAATAAGAATAAGTCATGAAGTCCTTAATGGCAGTATAAAAGAATTTGAAGTATATGCTGCTCTTAATAAAGTTAAAGCTAACAAAGCTCCTGGAATTGATGGGTTACCTTCTAATATCATTAAAAATTGCAGTATATTAGTTCCTGAATTTACATCCCTTTTTATTCACATCTTTTTTCATGGTGATTACCCTAATGAATGGAGTATAGGTATGTTAACAACTCTCTTTAAACAAGGTTGTAGATTTAATCCTGATAACTATAGGGGAATAAATGTCTTAGCATGTATAGGAAATATCTTTGATAGAGTAATACAAAACAGACTTGTTTTTAATGCCGAAATGTTAGATATTCAGGATCCACTTCAAGGTGCTTATAAATCTGGACATCAAACAACAGATAATTTATATATTTTAAACACAATCATAACCCGTTATAAGCTTATGAAAAAGCCATTATTCTGTATTATGATAGATTTTCGAAAAGCATTTGACTATGTAAATAGAGTGGCACTTATGTATAAACTATGTAAATCGGGAATATCACCTGATTCTAACATGTTCAAGGTTATAACAAGTATGTATGAAAAGTCAAAAGCATGCCTGAAATTAAAAGAAGGTGTCACCCCTGCTTTCGAAACAAATGTCGGAGTAATGCAGGGCTCTGTACTTAGTACTTATTTATTCAACCATTTCCTTGATGATTTAAAAGATAATCTACCAAAAGAAAATGGTATTCAATTTGATGGAAATATGTTAAACCACTTACTTTGGGCTGACGATCTTATTTTGATGTCAAATAGTAAAGATGGCGCCCAAACTTTGCTCAATTGTCTTTTTGATTTTTGTAAGAGATATCATCTTATAGTTAACACAATAAAGACAAAATCAATTGTTTTTAACTCAAAATTTGATATAGTTTTCACATTCAATGATAGTGCAATAGAAAGTGTTGAGCAATATAAATATCTAGGATGTGTATTCAGCAAAACTAAGAATTTTGACCAGCATGTATGTTATCTAAAAGAGCAGGCAAGAAAAGCTTTGTTTAAAGTTAAACAGCAATATAAAAAATTTAATGACATTCCAGTTAATCTTGCATTGCACCTTTTTGACTCTTTAGTTGAACCTATCCTAACTTATGCTTCAGAGGTGTGGATTAATGAAAAACATCTTAAGACAATAGAGACAATGCATTTATCTTTTCTTAAAAGTTTATTAGGTGTTAAAAAATCAACAGCAACACCAGCAGTCTATGGAGAATTAGGACGTTACCCATTAAAAATACGTTTTGAAATTAAGTTAATTAAATATTGGCTCCGTTTAATTCATCTATCACCTGGAAACTTTCTTCATAAAACATATACGCATGACCGTGAAATGAGCCAACTGGGTTTTAAAGGCACTTGGTCAAACAAAATCACTGATATTTTGAAAAAATGTGATTTATTCTCATATTGGGAAACTCAAAAGATCGATGATGATTATATTTTTATCAAGATGATAACAAAAAAACTGTATCAGAATTATAAGTCTCAGTGGCAGAAAGATATTTTCAAATATCCTGTTTTAAGAACTTACATAACATTCAAAAATGTCTTTGAAAGAGAGGGTTATTTAAATATACAAAATAAAAATTACAGACAAGCAATAAGTAGATTTAGGCTTAGTTCACACAAATTACATATAGAAATTGGTCGTCATTTGAAGCCTAAGCCAAGACCTTTGGATGAACGTTTATGTAATATGTGTGGTATTTTAGAAGATGAACAACACTTTATCATGGTGTGTAAGAAAAATACAACAGAGAGAAAACTTTTGTTTGACACCCTTACGCAATTTAATTTTGTAGGAAGTCCTAACTTTATTTTCAAAAAGCTTTTGTCTCATAAAAATTCTTATGTAATTTTACATCTAGCAAAGTTCATTTATCATTCATTCAAAAAACTGGATTAATATTGTAACAATGATACATCACACTGATGTTTTAAATTCTGTCATGTTGTATCTGTATTTTACAATAATCTCATTTTTGTATTTTACATTTTGTGATGCTGTAATTGTATTTTACAACTTTGTATATTTCCTATGAAGTAGTTAGTTTAGTCTTAGTTTAATTTTGTATATTGTAGTTTGTAGTGACTAATATGTCATTGCAATGACATCAGAGAGTCAATAAAAGATATATATATAAACCATTAATAAGGAACAGCCAAATAAAAACAAATAACATAATTATTACTAATAAGTCAAATGGGTTGCCCTTGAACACCAAATGTAAGGTATAGTAGAGTGACCAATTCCTTAGTCTCATCTCTGTTGGGGAATAGTTTGTGAGTGGTTGAAGGGAAGGTTGGAGGGTAAATACTTACAAGATTTGACAAGATAGTTAGATTGTGACGAGCTCTCACAAAAAATGGTGGAGTAAGTAAACCCTCTTTGCCAGGCCCGTAGCCAGGGGGGGGGGTTTAGGGGTTTGGGCGAGCCCCCCTGGCCAAAATTTCTTTCAAAATCATGCAGTTTTTCACCATGCTGACTATTTTTTGAGTGATTTTTGGCCAAATTTACCAATGTGAACCCCCCCCCCCCCTAGAATCTTTTGGAAAAGTGAACCCCCCCCCCCCCCCTTGGAAAATTCTGGCTACGGGCCTGTTTGCACATGTGCTATGACTTGCTTAAACAACTTCCTCGTAACCAGAGCTTATTTACAAACAACCATAGGCATTTTAGTTTTTAGTTATAATTTATTGACTAACTCCCATAAAATCCATATAAAACCAATCAATTCGTTATCAAGTAAATAATACTGGGCGTTAAATCTGTGAGTCGTGTGAATTCTGAGAATCATTATTTCGTGAAGGACATCACGATTCAATGAAGAATTATAAGAAAATAATATGTTTTTAATTAAATTGTGTTTAAGAAGAACATGAAATACAGCTCACTTTCAAATGTTATCACAGAATTATTTTGTGAAGGACATCGAGGGTTAAATAAGAAACTTAAGACAATGGTTTGATTAAATCATGTTTCAAAAGAACACAAAATACAGGTTACTTTCAAATTTAATTACAGAATAATTTTGTGAAGGATCTGACATATAGGATTAATTAAGAAACTTAAGACAATGGTTTGATTAAATCATGTTTAAAAAGAACACAAAATACAGGTTACTTTCAAATTTAATTACAGAATTATTTTGTGAAGGATCTGACATATAGGATTAATTAAGAAACTTAAGACAATGGTTTGATTAAATCATGTTTAAAAAGAACATGGAAACTGGTCGTGTGTTTACAGAATTACGATAAATATTTTGTAATTATTATCATCTTGTCCCTCTATTACTGTTATAGACTGTCTCCCATTAGTATGTTTATAACTGTTATGACTGTCTCCCATTGGTATGTTTATGACTGTTATAGACTGTCTCCCATTAGTATGTTTATGACTGTTATAGACTGTCTCCCATTAGTATGTTTATTACTGTTATGACTGTCTCCCATTAGTATGTTTATTACTGCTATGACTGTCTCCCATTACTATCTTTATTACTGCTATGACTGTCTCCCATTAGTATGATTATTACTGTTATGACTGTCTCCCATTAGTATGTTTATTACTGCTATGACTGTCTCCCATTAGTATGTTTATTACTGCTATGACTGTCTCCCATTAGTATGTTTATTACTGCTATGACTGTCTCCCATTAGTATGTTTATTACTGCTATGACTGTCTCCCATTAGTATGTTTATTACTGTTATGACTGTCTCCCATTAGTATGTTTATGACTGTTATGACTGTCTCCCATTAGTATGTTTATTACTGCTATGACTGTCTCCCATTAGTATGTTTATTACTGTTATGACTGTCTCCCATTAGTATGTTTATTACTGCTATGACTGTCTCCCATTAGTATGTTTATTACTGTTATGGCTGTCTCCCATTAGTATGTTTATGACTGTTATGACTGTCTCCCATTAGTATGTTTATGACTGTTATTGCATAAATGGACTTTGAAAAGTGTTCCACTTATGGAGGCGTTCCACTTACCGAGTTATTTTACATTACATTAATGGGTTAGATAACTGTTCCACTTATGGAGATGTTCCACTTACAGAGGTGTTCCACTTTACAGGTTTTACTGTATGTTATTGCAATTGGTTATTTCTTGCATGATCTCCTGATTGAAGAATTGTGGGTAATGGTATACTTTTTTTTCCAGGAGATTGAATGATATTGTGTGGAATGCACTGCCGCAGGAGGAAAAAGACCAGTAAGCAAATTTCGCATTGTATACACATGTATAGCATATTGCTCTCTTAGTTAACTTCATTCACTTTATAATTAATGTAAGGCACATACTTTTGTGACCATTGTAATAAATTACTAGTGCAATTCATCCTGCTAATACCTATTAACTTTTTACTGTTATAAATAGATACACATGGTTATGCCTCATGGGTGTTTAGCGGCTTGTTATATAAAATGTAACTTGTAAAATAATGAAAATGAAAATTATTGTGAGTTTACTAATTGTAAGTTTCTTAGAAACAGACACAAATATTAAAAATGCATTGTTTCAATTCCAGGTTTAACAGTCACAGAGCTGTAGATTTTAATGACAATAAGCTCCGCCTCCTTCAAGCACTTGACAGGTGTGGTTGGCCAATCACAGGCACCGATATAACCCTCCTTGAGGATGAAATCCAACAAGGCCACAAATATCTCCAACAATCCAGAGATCTCAAAAGATCTGGCAAAAGAAAAGATCAAGACTCAGAGAGTGAAGATTCCGACTTAGACAATGACTCAAATAATAATGACGATAGAGAAAGCATAAAATCTGAATCAAGTAAAAGATCTGAAAAAGACAACAGTGATGATAATGATGATGAAGATGCTAAGAACTATGATGAAGCAGCCAGTGTGGCTTCTTCAATAAGATCGAGTCGAAGCAATCGAAGCAGTAAAAGTTTTGAGGTAGGTGGTACATATTAGAGCTTGCACACTTCTTCTGAATATACAGATGTGTCCCTTTAACCTCCAATATTACAATTGGAAATCAACTTCCCCTTTAACCTCCAATATTACAATTGGAAATCAACTTCCCCTTTAACCTCCAATATTACAATTGGAAATCAACTTCCCCTGGGTTCTGACTTTGAACACAAATTGGATATAATATTCAGCTAAGTTCCTTGATTCATTACAATTTTAATAATTATATTGAAATTCCTTTTTCCTCGATTAATATTCATTCTCCTAAAATTGGTCATTGAATTGGAAGATAGAATTCTGGGATGTTTTTGTACATGTGTATTTTAGAAGCTGTGTGTTTGCAAGATTATAGATTTAGCCACACCCATTTCCTAGCCCCTCCCCTTTTAGATTTCCCATTAGTTAGCTCCTCCTGTCTGTTGCACCAGCTTGTTAAATTATGTATACCCTTGATGTAAGCCAAAGAATCCCCCTGTATGTATAGCTTAATGTGACCCTTTATAAATTGGTGATGGGGATTGATCTTATACACATATAAAAATTGTTCATTCAATTCAAACATAAAATTGAGAAAGACTGAGAAATATTATTCAGAAGGAATGCATGCATGTACCACCTTTCTCTACTGCAGTAGATATTGAGATTAAGCAGTAAATTAATTTACCGTCCATGTTCCCTTTTGCTTAACTGAATCTTAATGTTATATATCTATATTAATTCATCATGATAAACCATGACATCTCATTTCTTCTCAGTCCTGATCATGAGATGGTGAAACAGAAAGATGCTATGAGTATCAGAATGATATTAATTAACAAAGTTACTCTTTCATCTGTAATCTCCAGCACCTGGAGATACTTTTAGAGAATTATATGACTTCGACAAAAAGGCTTACCAAATTAGTCACACATAGGCCTTGTCATTTTAGTATTAGTCCTCAACTTTTACAATACTTTTGTTTCTGAATATTTTTATAGATAAAATCAGCTTTTCTGAAATCAGTATTATAGAATAGATATTTTTTATCACTTTACCTTCAGGCCCGTAGCCAGGATTTGCCAAGGGGGGGGGTTTAGTTTTCAAAAATTTCCAGGGTGGTTCACATTTGACAATTTTGGCCCAAATATGGCTAAAATCACTTGAGAAGTGCTCAAAATGGTGAAAAACTGCATGATTTTGAAAGAATTTTTGGCCAGGGGGGGGGCACCGAACCCTGCGAGCCCCCCCCCCCCCCTGGCTATGGGCCTGACCTTTAATATATACCTTCAAATTACAAGAAGTATTTTTGTAGTCAATCGAGTGTTTTAGTCTGTATGATGAATATGTATATATATATAATCACAATATGTGATAGTTCATATTAGAAACGCATAAATGTACAGCAAGGAGGATTGGCAGACATTATTCAAATTCAATCTTCCATTGCCTGGCATGGAACAATTTAGTAAAGGTTTTTACCCTATTTTGGGAGATCGGAACTGCCAGAGATGTTTGAACATTACCACAATACTTATACACTAAATACAGGGTGGGCCAAAAAACCACCCCCTAGCCAATATTCCTGATAAATGTTCAATTTATTTTGGCCCACCCTGTATATAGACTATCTAATTGGTCAGATGACCTTCATAGAAACAATTGATTACTAAATTGTTCTCTCTAATTTGAACACTTCCCAATGAACATATATTCTTATTTTTTTCTCCCATTAGTCCTCTGGTGAAATAACCTTGAAATGTGAACACTTCCCAATTTGAATCAAATCCCACTGGCATTTGGAATAGACAGGTTTACTGATTTTTCTTTCTCAAATTATATTGCGAATGTGTCATGATTACTATGCAAAATTCAAGAAACTTTTATTTTTCATTCATAGCCTACTGAATGCCTCACCAAAATTATCTTAACGAAAAAACAGAAAAATTATTGATTGTTTAGGAGATTGATGAATTTCCATATAAGGGATCATGTCCAATTGCTAATATAGAAATAGGAAAATGAAGTTTTCCTGTTGGTCTAATCCCACAAAGTCAATCTTAATCACCTTCCTTTGCGCCTTTATGCGGAATTAGTGCATATTTTCTTTGCAAATCAGCTATTTTGTCATAATATGACACTGCAACATTGACTGACATTTGGGGTGTTAATATAAGATTATTAAATATATTCATCTACACTTACAATGTATTGACTTTTGGACACGGGCCCTAATATTGTAAAAATATAATTTCGTTTCATAATAGAAAAAGTGCAATGCTCTTAAGAAATGACTTGTAAAATATCGTATTAATTAAATGTATTGATTAACTGTACAAAGATTTACCACCAAAACGTCAAAGTTTTCTCATGATCTCAGATAAAAGAAAAAGATGAAAACAACGAAAATAGATATAAAACTGCTAATGGTTGTCACCGATTCTCTTAATATTTTAGGATAAGGATGAAAATGACAACCATGACCTTTCACTTTTCCCAGTTTCCAGCAAATTTAATGATGATTTCTGCTGAAACAAAAACTGGGAGGAGTGATATGTACAAGTATGCTAAAGACTTAATGCTCAAAGTAATTAATTAATTGATTTAAGTAAAATGTAAATTCTCCAGTCTTAGGTTATTTGATTCTTACAGTTCCACGTGTTATTAATAAGGAGTAGAACATTTTAATTGCTTTACTACAAATATGTGTGTTTAGCTACTTACTGTATTTACCTTTGATTGTTTTGCAGTTTCAAATATATATAAAAATAGTATTATTTTGAACATAATCAATGCCATTTGTTCATTTTTTGTTTAACCACAATGGGCAACATTTAAAAAGTATTCATAAATGAATTAAATAAATAAATTCTGATATTTGAGATATTTAAGTCATTCCACTTTGCTTACCTTAAGCATTTATCTCTGGCTGCCTGAATTACAAGCACTTCTGAACAAGTTTTAACTATATATGTCCTATTAGAGTATATGGAAAAGACTGACCACTGACCCCCTCCAACCAGTCAATCTCCACGCTTGCGTCCAAAATCTGTAGTCAATGGTCGGAGAGCTCCGTCTTTTTCATACACCCAATAGGTGAAGTAATTTTTAAGGTCACATTTAGAAGAGAAATCATAAGTCATACAGGGTGATTCAGAAGTAAGGTCAAAGAGATTTCCATTTTAATACTACTGAATCAATCATCATGAAACTTGGTACAGATGTTCTCATAATATTACTGAGTTGCTATCTTCATATGAATCATTCAACCTTTTGATACAACCTAATGATAGTTGCTATAGTAACTCAATGTGATTTCACCTGAGGAAGAATCCTGTATCATTCTTTATTGGAAATTGAAAAGCGTGAGTGCATGTACTAACCAGTTCACATAATGCACAAGAACATAGCCTGTGTACATTATCAGGATTGGTTTGAACATGCATGTAGGCTTTTTTAAAAATCCAATAAAGAATGATACAGTGTTCTTCATGTGATGACATCACTTGTTTACAAATAATGACATGCTCAGTTCATTATGAAACCATAATGCACTATCTAATAATGCTTCTGCTCAGTTGACCATATACCTTGAATTAATGCACTGAAATACTCCAAGCTGATTGGCTGAGACATACTTTACAACAGTCTTCTAATTGATACCTGATACTTGCCATATTTGAAATGTTTATACAGGTTGTTCATAAGGTCTCTACAATTACAATACAAAGTCTGTGCAAAGTGTAAAGAGATTTTAAGGACACCCTGTATAACAATATGCACATGTGTACTATATAGGGTTTAGGAGAAGTGATGGAGTCAAAGCCAACTAAAGGGAAGAAGGCCCCTCCAACCAACAACAAAGTGAAAAAGGCATTAGACTCCCTCAGAGGCCAGAGTGTAATAGCACGTTGGGATCAAGATGGTTTCTACTATGCAGGTATTGAACATCTCTTTTTAGATATGTTGAAAAAAGTAGTTATTGTTTTTACTTTTAAATCTCATTTCAAAAATTTAAAGGTGACCTATTGATCGTCAAATTTGAGCTTGCCATTTCGTCTGGGCATATATACAATGCAAGCTATTGCTGACCAGAATGTCCATAAAGGAATGAGTATATATTTTAAATGCTGGATTTTTTCTTATTTCAAATAAATCATAATTGTAAGTCAGGGAAAAAGTTTTGGGCCCCTAGAACCAAAAATTGGACCCAAAATTTGAAAAATTGAGGCCCATTTTTGGAAATTCAAGTTATGCCCATAAAGACCCATTTTTGAGACCCTACAAAATTGTTGGGCCCCTAAATCAGGCCCCATGGCCCTCCCCCTGGATCCATCAGTGCTTTTGTATGAAAAGAGAACATTCAGGGAACTGTTATTTGAAAAATATGCAGCGCTTGTAATTTTAGATCTAATTGTCTGTTTCTAGGTCTGGTAATAAAGTGCACAGATTCTAGACACGCCCTGGTAGAATTTCACCATAACCAATCAAAGGAGACGATACCTACACGATTCGTGATACCAATAGGGGGAGCAGTATCCAGGCCACCATTGAGGGTAAAGCAACTTTCAAATTCTACAATATTAGAAATAAATTCATAAATGTGAGCAATATGGGTATGTTTATATTCAAAATCCATTGTTACATTTGCAGTGAATGCCTTTATATAAAATGACTCATTGCATATAATTATGACAACGTGATTTGGAATATACAATGCATCCTTGGCCCAAGAGTAATTCATTGCATTACATGATCTGCTATGAAAGCAGTGAAGGATCGTTCCTTGAAGGATGTATACTAAGGCACAAATGGGCCACAAAAGGCCTTAAGGCCCCTAAAAGTGGGCCTTTTTGGTCATAACTGGGCCTTGTAAGGCCTTATTTTTTAATTTCAGGCGAAATTTGTATTTATTTTTCTCTGACCTGAAATTTGGGCCCCCCCCCTTGTTGGTTCCCAGATCCGCCCCTGTACTATCTGGTGTCCCATTAAATGACATGTATATAAAAGTGGTATATCATGCTGATCCTATATCCTACTTGCCTTTTTTAAAAAAGTTCACTTTTTTTCTTGTCTCATGAACAAAGGACTACATAGATCTTTGTAGGGACCTAACCAAGCCGAACGCAGAATACATTGAAATTGCAAACGAAACTCTTCGCCCTTGGTCTAACCAAGAAAAGTTACTGAAAGTTATCTTTTGTAGATTGGGGACTATGTCTTGGCTAGAGTATTAAATGCAGATACAAAGGAGGAATGCTATGTACCAGGAATCATACAAGTTACACCAAGACGTATACAAGACCAAGCCAAGTTCTTCACACTTACGCTTTACAATGGTGAACAGGCAACTACAATGCGGAACTACATTATCAAGATAAGCAAGGCCAGGTTTTCATTTGCCTGTAGATACTTGGAGGAATGTCAAAAAGCCAATGATGACAGGTATGTACATGAACAGGGGGGGGGGCTGTTGTTTGAGCTATGGGTTATTATTCAAGGGAATGGGGTATTATCTGAGGAAACAAGGAAAGAGGTGTTTTACAGAGGATATATGAACAATTTTGTGAGGAAGGGTTTTCATCATTTTCTTTATGTTGATTTTTATCTGTGTTTGAATGATGACATATCTACCTATAGTTGGGGGAATTTAGTGGAAAATATTTCAAATGGTGATACAAGCAAATTTATTGGCTTAATCTGTTATTTAAACTATTTGGAAAAATTCTGTCCCTGTGATCGATCAAACTGAGCACTATTTCAGGAAAAAATTCAAGATGGCTGCCGTATATGTGTAATTCGATACAAATGACACTCTAGATTCATATATAGAGATAAATATGGTTTAAAATTATATTGATTCAGTAGTAAAGCATGTACATTATATCTAGAAATACAGTTACATTCATTAAAGAGCCGAATTTGGGCAAAATGACTTTATATAGGGATTCTACAAGGTTCTATTTTGGGAGCACTCTTATTTTGCAACAACTTTTGTCATTAAACTTGTTTTCTTGAATAATGTTGATATTTCACACATAATTCAATCTAATATTTCAAGTTTACATGAAAACACTGTCTTACAAGTACCAAGGAGACTTTGAAGGAGTCCTGCAAGGTTCTACTACACTCCATTATTATCACAATCTCTTGGAATTCGGTGGAAAATATTCAAAATTGCGATACATGCAAATTTATGGGCTAGTCAGTTATTTATGCAAATAAGAAAAATCCCATCCCTCAAATCAGCCAAACCTAATACTATTTCAGTAAAAAATTTAAGGTTGTCAAAATATGTTCATAATTCTGTAAAAATGACACCTTAGATTCATACATAGAGATTATATGGTTAATAAATAGGTTCACTCAGTACTAAGACATGCAAATATATTTAGAAATGCTATGATCTTCTTTGATTTGAATTTTGGCAAAAAGAGTTTAATAGGAGTTCTTCAAGGTTCTATTTTGGCCCTCTCTGTTAGAACATGAATTACTTTATAACATTCTCTAATACATTTAATATCTAAGATATAATTCAAGAATATATTTCAAGTTTGAATGAGAATATTGTCAACCAAGTATCAATGCAAACATTGAAGTAGTCTTCCAAGGTTCTACCTTAGTCCATTATTATCACAATCTCTTATTTGTATGATGAAATAAGGGCAGGTAGACAGGAACTTATCAATTATACAGAATTACATGTGGAATTGCACAATACTGTACATTAAGTAAAGATTTTTTACAAAAGCAAACTAAACATGTCTAGAGACTTGCTGGGTTTAGAGCCCCGTGGCGAGTTGTCTACAGTGAGGTCAACAGTAAAGGCCATGTGATGTTGCAACTATAACACAGCTAATAGCAGAAACAAAGGAACACAAAACCAACTTGCCAATTGTATGCCTTGATATAACTAAGGCAGCAGTGTACCACACAAATGAACTCAACAGCTTTGAAGCATTATAATGTTCCTCAACATGTGATTGGCCTTGAGATAGAGCACATTGAAGGTATTCAGTTGAGATTCTTGACTGAACATCCTTCTGAAAGAAGCCACAAGGAGTACAATGAATTTAAAATGAGAAATGTGAACCCACATCCAACATACTAGTATCACATTTTCATGGATTGATGGGGTCACTCTAGCAAATGACACTGAAATAGCCATTCTGTGTATCTTCACTGAACTAAAAAACCTAGTAACCTGGGAATCATATCAAATGTTGCAGTCTCCTGGAAGCTCCCTGTCATTTCCTTATAGAACACTAAATGACACAAAACTTACCCAACCAACTAAGCAAGGCAGGACGGCCTAATAGAACATCCAACATATTGACCCAATTGTCACAAGTTCTTCAAACTGCCTAAAGAGTTCTAAAGGAACAAATTGTGATTCAGGCAACAGATTTGAAGGTGACTAATTGTAATGACTATTACAATGAGACTCCTTTATTGCCCAAATGACTTGATTGTCATCACATCAGAACAATATGATAGTCCCTTTCCTGGCTGTTAAATTCTGCTGGAGTTACAGCAACAGAGTGGAACAAGGCTCTCTTAGAAATAGGATAAACAGAAAAATGGTGACTATGGCTGCATTGTGCAGAGCTGGCTGAATAACTGAGTGAGGTTTGATCAACCTGTTTACCAACCTCTCTGAGTTTGTAGGGGTAGAAGCAGAAAAAATGGAAACTAAAATGACAAAAAAGACTAAAGCTGCTAATCACAACAAAACCTGAAGGACAATAGTGCCACAAGCAATGATACTCCTTTGTTTAAACTCACGTCAAAATTCTGCAATTATTTTCTTGCTGGTGTCAAAGTAATGGTGTTGTAGTTGTAAAACATGGTAAATACATTGATAAATCTGCAAAACTCACTCAGTACTCAATGTTCAGTTGTTTTGGCAACTTCAGTTGTTTTGGCAATTTACACAAATTGATTTTGTTGTAGATTAGTGCATTTGTAAGTGTAAAGAATAAGAAGGGTGTCAAAAGTGAACTTTAAACGGTTCCTATGCAATAATGACTTTTAAAAACTGATTTTGTTGTACATTAATGAATGTATATTCCTAATTATAGAACAGTAGTACCAATGATGTTAAATTCATTAAATTCCATTGTACCAATTTGTGAGTATACAAAATAAGAAGGGTGTCAGGAATGAACCTTGCTTAACTCCTAATTATTTATTTTGACTTGAGTACATAACAGTATTAAGTGTTATGTGTGTATGTTGTATACTACAGCTCTAAACATAGAGATAAACATGTCTAATCATACTCTGATGAAATCATAGCAACCTCTCTATTTTATGATTACATTACATAACATAGTGATACATGTACTACAAAAACATATAATCATACACATATATAAAATATGTTGTGTCCTATATAGTTATAATAATCATATTATAATATCCAGTTACCTTTGAAGATGGTCTGAATGTACTTATTTGTTTTCTGTTGATACACGTTTCTAACTTAATCCTACAGAATGATAAAATTGACCACAACTTCCTTTTTCCAATTTTATGGGTTAGAGCACTTTCAACGCTTTTTAAAAAATACTTTCAATTTTTCAATGATTGAAATCTTCATATTGTTGTATCAGGCAAAGTTATTAGATGTTTTTTAAATAATAATTAATGTTATTTGTCATTGCATTCTTTCTTTGAACCTAGAAAATGAACATAATTTCCCATTTTACGCCAAATCGTCACACTTTGGAGCCATGGGAGAGGGCTAAAATTCAGTTTAAAAATTTGAAAAAAATTCACATGACTATTTTCACCTTAAAGAACAACATTTCACCATGAGAGCATGAATTTTCCAAAAAAAAAAATTTTGCCCACCCTACATGTTATTTAAGTCATACTTTGTCGGCCATCTTGGATTTTGGGGGGAAGAAGTGAAATATTCCGTCGATCACAGGGACAGATTTTTTAAAAAAGGTTTTAAGAAGCAGAAAAGCCAAAGTTTATACTTGTATCACCATCTGAAATATTCTGCCTAATATAGGGGTAAATTCCCCCCACTACTAGTAAATGGATCAAAGGGGCTGTTATTTGAGTAATGGGCTATTATTCAAAATAAATGCTGTTACCTGGGGATGTTTTATTCAAATGGAAATAGAGTCTATACCTAAGAAACAGACATATTTGTTTTGTTGATTTAAATGGGGTCAACCCAGTTGTCCGAAACCCAGTTCTCCGAAACCCAGTTTTCCGAAACCCAGTTGTCCGAAACCCAGTTCTCCGAAAATTAGGGGATCTTATTTGAAAAATACAATTTTTTTAAACGAATCTCGTTGTCGCAACCTCTGCGAATCACAACATAACATTGGGATAACGTTGACATCATTGCAAAATTAGGCTAAATATGCTAAGTCACGACGTTAATTGTTTAATGTTTAGCCTACGAAAGTTCATATACAGGTGATATAGATGTTCAAACAAACAAAGTTAAATTATGTTATTCTCATTGTAAAATGGCGTTTACACAACATATATAGATAGGGGTCTACAATTTTTAAACCAATTTTCTTTATGGCCCATGGGCCTTTTTTGAGAGGGAACAACAATTTTCCAATGGGTGATGAGCGTTCATAAAAGGAAAAATAGCTTTCCCAAGCCAGTGGGCATTTATTTAGTAAAGTTGACATGTACATCTTTTGAAACCAAAACTTATTCTTCATTTACGTACTCTGTTCGAGAAATAGAGATTAAATTAAAAGGATGAAGTGAGTACATGGCGAAAATGAAACTTCTTGCGAATGGGAGAACATCCATTTTGATACGAGGACAGCCTGCCTTCGTTTCCAGTTGATCCCAAGTGATTAAGTTAAGAATGTTTTGTTCTTTTACGATTTGATAAAATACAGAGACTAAGAAATTAAATACGACGAAATATTTTGACAACGTAATATGTATACTGTTTTATTCTTAAAGTACTAGTCTATATGCGTAAACTTATTTTATCTGTTTAAAATTGATTCATTTTATTTTGCCTATATAAGAGAAATTGAAGAAGATAAGATAAACTGTTCCGTAATATATATTGTGTTTTGATAACCTTTTTTTAGAATCACAATGTAAAATAAATCCCCCGTTCCTGCCATTCTGGTAACGCGTGCAATGGATGCAATTCAAAGTGAGAGAGAGAGATCTATGAACATCAGAATGCGTCCATGCCATTAATTTGGCCAAATACATGGCATGAAACTGGCCTAAGCTTAGTACGTCTCCCCTTTCTCTGGTAAATTATGACTATATTTTTCGGAGTAATGGGTTTCGGACAAGTGGGTTTCGGACAACTGGGTTTCGGAGAACTGGGTTTCGGACAACTGGGTTTCGGACAACTGGGTTTCGGACAACTGGGGTGCACCCGATTTAAATAGTTTTTATTTGGATAGCCTAATCAATTTAAGCGTCACACATTCTCCACTAGAGACACCAACTTTATATTGTGCCTGCATTTATCATATTTAAATTCTGAATAGAATTTGAGATGAAATTAGTGAATATTAAATTAACTATTTTGAAAGGATTTCAATTGCTGTTGATTCTAGCCCTAATATTGAGGTGATTCCCGTTGGTGGTTACTACACTATTGGAGACCCTAGACGTAATAGGTACATACACACAGTGTGTGGATTCTTCTGTACTAACATGTCTTTGGTATTTTTGTGTGCATAACACAGATATAAATACAAATACTGTACTTTATCTAAAAATGATTAACATGTGGTTTTGTTTCATGTATTGTGTGCACAGGTCAGGTGTCGACAATATGTATGTAAACAACAAAGTTAATTTCATTTTCATATATCTTTCCCTTCCCCTTAAAAGTTAAACTGGTCATAGATTTCTCAGAAATATCAGTCCTCTGGACTGCCCCACTCAGCTATATGTACACTTGCATTTTGGCAAATGAACTGATTGTAAATTAATTTATGGAACTTAAGACTATGAATTGATTGAATTTCCATGAACTCATTGTACTTACACTGATTCTTCATGAGTTGATTGGATTCTCATGAACTGATTCTTCTTGTACTGATTCTTCTTAAATTGATTAAATGTTCATGAACTGATTTTTTCTTGAACTTTCATGAACTGATTGTTCTTGTACTGATTCTTAATGAATGGATTGAACTTTTATGAACTGATTTTTCTGGTTCTGATTGTTCATGAATTGATTAAACGTTCATGAACTGATTGTTCTTGTACTGATTCTTAATGAATGGATTGAACTTTTATGAATTGATTTTTCTGGTTCTTAATGTTCATGACTTGATTGAACTTTCATGAACTGCATAATTCAGGGTTTTCGGAAAAGACCGACCCCACCGACCACCGACCGGTCGGTGTTTTCCACTGGTAGCCTCAAAACAGGGTTTGAAGAAAATGTGTAAAAGACCGACCATATCATGTAAAAGACCGAACATATTTGTAGCCTTAGAATATTAATAATTTGATTTTGAATGTCAATCGTTGGACTAGGCAACGTTTTTACCGATTTTGTACCTTGCAACGAATGGCAAGCAAACAAATTGGTCATGACCGTCTCCTCTCGATTAATTGCCAGGGCCGTCAGATGGGGGGGTGCGATGGGTGCGACCGCACCCCCCTTTGTCACCCCAAAAATAAATTTGAAAAAAAAATTTTGAAAAAAAAAAATTTTTGAAAAATATTTTTTTTATAATTTTTTTTTCATTGACTCATACACTTTGAAAGTACCCAGAAAGCACCAAATAGCATCTTAAAATTGTAAAATATTCTAGGGGTATTGGCCACCCCTCACACCCCCCACAAAACAATGGAAAAGTTCTAAATTTATTTTAGTATTTTGTCTCAGACACTTTTAAAGTGCCCAGACATCATCAAATAGCTCCTTGATATAGTTAGTGTTTCTGGGGGACTTGCTCCCCCTCTTGCATCTTGCACTTGCATAGACCCCCCCCCCTCTGGCACCCCCCTTGACCCCCCCCCAAAAAAAAAAAATTGTGATTTTCTCAAATTCTTTAATTGACTCATACACTTTAAAAGTGCCCAGAAAGCGTTGTAAAATTGTAAAATTTTCTAGGGGGAGTGGGCCACCCCTCACACCCCAAACAAAACAATGGAAAAGTTCTGAATTTGTTTTATGTACTGTCTCAGACACTTTTAAATTGCCAAGACATCATCATCATCCTTGATAAAGTTAATGATTCTGGAAGACTAACACTTACTCGCCCTCTGGCATCCCCACTCCACCTCCCCCTCTGGCAGCCCCCCCTTAACATCCCCCCCCAAAAAAAGCCAGGAAGCACCAAATAGCAACTTAAAATTGTAAAATTTTCTTGGGAAATAGGCACTTTTAGGCACAGACACTTTTAAAGTGCCTAAACTTCATCGAATAGCACCTTGATATTGTAAATTTTGATATGGGGGACAAACACTTGCCCCCCCCCTCTGGCACCCCAGCCCCACCTCCCCCTCTGGCACCCCCCCCCCCCCCCCCTTTGACACCCCCAAAATTTAAAAAAAAATTGTGATTGTTTTTCAATGTTTTTATTGACTAATACACTTTAAAAGTGCCAAGACGCACCAAATATCATCTTTAAATTGTAAAATTTTCTAGGAGAGTTAGCCACCCCTCACATCCCCCACAAAACAAAAGAAAATATTCTGAATTTCATGTATTGTCTCAGACATTTTTTAAGTGCCCAGACATCATCAAATAGCACCTTGATATGGTCAATGTTTCTGGGGGACAACCCCTTGCTCCCCTACTGGCACCACACCCCACTTCACCCTCTCATCCACTTTGACACCCCCATAAGAATTTGAAAAAAATGCACATTTTTCTTATTGACTCATAACGCACAGGCGTACCAGATGGTTGCAAATTCGCTCCAAATACAACCAAATTTCAAAATTTTCCTGGGGGAGAACCCCCACACCCCCCTGAATACTCGGTTTTTTATTCACTCATCTCTTATTCTCATGGTGGTGGGGTACTACTTGGAAACTTACACTTTGAAAGTGCCCAGAAAGCACTAAATAGCATCTCATCTCTAGGGGGAGTGGACCACTCCTCACACCCCCCACAATATAATTGGAACTTTTGGAAGTTGCATTTGTTAATTCCAAACCAATATAGGGAGTAACTGAGCCCCCCCCCCCCCCTCTGACTTACGCGATTTGATTTACGCGGCAAAAAAATTGACAATTTTATATTCTCTTTAGTAAGCTAAAAAACCGCACCCCCCTTGGAGAAAAGTGTCTTACGGGCCTGATTGCCCTGCCTTAGGTCCTAACCTATCATTAACCAACCTATCGTTTCTACGGGAATCTATCCTAATTTTTTACTGAAATTTAACAATTTCGAAACAAAAATGATTTGTTATCGTCATAGCCTACTGAATACTGAACACGATATAATGTTACATGCGTTCTCTTATCGGGATTAAAAGTGACTTACCATTTCAGACCATTAGAAAGCTTTTTTTTGTCATATCAAATGTAGTTTTTACCAGTTGACGTTTAACAACTGAGAAATCAAACATAACGTTACGACGTCAACATCGACGATGTTTGTGTGTTTTTGTTATTGCGTTTCATATGATCGAATGAAGAATGAACTTAATGCAATGTTACGTGCGTTTTTTTCCAAAGTGACTAACCAGGATGAAATTGGTCTTCTAACAACTGAAACATCACTTAAAACACAGATATTGGCCAGATCGTTTTGTAGTAGGATCTCATAGGCTCAAAGAATAATAATTGAGCTACTGATCCTACTACAAAAGAATCTGGCCGGGATCTATGACTTAAAAATATGACATTACACACCACGACGATGTAACGTTTTCATCGTGATTTGAAATGATAATTATACGTTTTTAAATCACGACCTAGTAAAGGTACTATAGTCATTGGATTCCCAGTTTTAGTTTTACTTCTAATTTTGCATTTTTCATCTTTATGTAAAAGACCGTCAGCCGACCACCGACCACATGTACCCAACTGTGGAGAGTGACTGGTCGGTGGTCGGTGGTCGGCGGTCGGTGTTTTACGAAAACCCGATAATTCATGTACTGATTCCTTATGACTTGATTGAACTTTCATGAACTGATTATTCATTTACTGATTCTTCATGAATTGGTTGTTCTGGTAATGATTGTTCATAAATGAGTTATTACTGTTATTACTATTACTCATAAATGAGTGATTACTGATGTTGATGTGTAACAAACTCTATTCTTTTCTGTATCTTTCATTAGTCTTCATGTTTACTTTTTTTCCATTTCTTTATACAAATATATAATTTAGAATGTAATTATAGTATTTTTAGGACCCTGACTCGTTTTGTTATGTTTGCAAATTTTTAACTGCAATTTTACATTATTAAAAATAAGAATGAATGTACATGTATATGAAATTATAACATATCATATCTCCAGCATGGCAATATCACATCAAGTGTCATTTGGTGAATAGTTTATGTGTTCAGATTGGGTTACACATCATACTGAATTTTAGATGTCATTGATTTGCTTATGGTTATAGGGAGGAAGAAGAGGAAAGGAAAAAAGCTGAAGGTGATAGATTGAAAGATGAGGATGAATCAAGGTCATCTTCAAGGTCAAGTTCAAGGTCACAATCTCCCTCAGGTAGAAAATCTTGAATGTATTGTCAAAAGTATTGTTAAATCTCAAATAGATAAATTACATCCATATAAAATCCAAAGATCTTATTTAATAGTTGCATCTAATAGTTATACATCTAATTGAAGTCAATAATGTGTGTGTTTCAACCGGGGTCAACCCAGTTGTCCGAAACCCAGTTGTCCGAAACCCAGTTGTCCGAAACCCAGTTGTCCGAAACCCAGTTGTCCGAAACCCAGTTGTCCGAAACCCAGTTGTCCGAAACCCAGTTCTCCGAAACCCAGTTCTCCGAAACCCAGTTCTCCGAAACCCAGTTCTCCGAAACCCAGTTCTCCGAAACCCAGTTCTCCGAAAATTAAAAAATTAAATGTCTTAGCGGTAACGAATCTTGTCGCAACTTCGCGAATCAGGACAGCATAACATTGGTATCACGTTGACATCGGTTAGCCCGGTCAATAATGGGTCCGAAAGTTCACGATCATATATATTCTTACTAGATTCTCGGCACATAGACTTATATGGACATTCTACAAATTTTGAACCGCATTGTCCAGCACGAATCGCACTCCTTCTTGGTGAAAATTCAAGACTGCCGCCAACATTTTAGACAATTATCACAGTCGAAGAGAATATTCTGGCGAAAGGAATATCTATCTCATTCGAATAACGTATGGACGTCCGTGACAATTATATATATTCATTTGATAATTTTTTCATTCCCTTTTCTCAATAAAATATGGTTAATTATGTTTTCCAATATCAATTGATAATATTTCTACCCTGAAAAATATCTAAAAAGAAGATTTTGGTTGTTCAGTACCACCGTCCACCCATTGTTAAGATTTCGTCCAAATTTTCGATAAATCAATAAAATATGCTCATTTCGTATAACTTATATATGTGGCATATATACATATCAGATGTCTATCCTTTTTTCATCATAATATAAGAGGTTTGTATGTTTTAGTAGAAACGTATTCCTTTCCAAACATTTAGATTTAAGAATTTCTCCCATTGGTGATATTGTTCAAAATCAAAACTGTGTTTTTGCGATATATTGAACTGTTGAAGTAAGTGTGTAATAGTTTGTAGTAGAGCCAAGATTTGATCTGTATCATGTACGTACCCTGCATAAAAAATTCGTTTTTAGTGTGCCATAGATGTCAACCATTAACTATTGCAGAATCATTGAAAAAGTTTTGTGAAAAATTAGGATAATGTTTCAAAATTATACACCGGACAATAAATAACTATACTCAATGCAGACAGGGAGTTTTAATTGCCCAAAAACTGAGTATCAAAATGCATTTGTATCTCTTTAGTATCTTGCATGACTCGTTCATATGAATTCTTTATTTCTACCTCGTTCCCAATACATTCTGAGACAGTTCAACCTTTGCCCCACGTCGCCACGCGGTCCTAACTTCGACCGTTAATTTGAATTTTTGACCTACCGGATATTTGAAAATCAATTACGAGTCTCATACTGCACCGTTTTTCTTCAAACTTGTTCCATTCAAAGCATGACAAAAATCTCTTTCTGATGGTACGTTATTATCTTAAACAGAGTTCCTACTTCCAGCGTAATTTTGGTCCCCAGCTGTAAGAAGGCCTTCTAACAGCTGGGGAGTGGGGACCAAAATGCTGCTAGAACGAGAGACTCTTTACAATAAAGTAATGCACTGACAGAAGTGCAATTTTGTTTTGCTTTTAATGGTATAATGGAAGAAAAACGGTGCAGTATCAGACTCGCAATCCTTTATTTTCAAGCATCTGGTAGGTCAAAAATTCCAATTAACGGTCGAAGACCGCGTGATTGCAGAAAGTGATGACCACGTGGAAATTTTGGAACTACCCTTTCGAGTAGGCAAGTAGACCCCATACGGTTCTAAGTACTTCCAATCCGTCCACACAGTTTAAGCCCGTTCTCGAGAGCGTAGTGAGAACTAGTTTGGTGTGATAATAGGGTCAGATACTGAAAGTGTAAGCATGGACGACCTCCCACCGTCCAATGAATACAGTGGGTTCAGAATCAGAAGGCGTTTCAGACGGCGTTCTGAAACAGCTCACTATAGCTTATTCCTTAAATTTTGGCCTGAATGCTTTGTACGTTGAGAGACGGGACGGGACATGAGCAGTGTGACAGCGCCATTACCATTAGGCGCACGATGGGCACATTTTAACTTAGTATGAGTAGGGGATAATTTATGAGGATCAATAGGACTTCCCACGGCAGCCGCATGGTGAATTTTAAATTTCTGTTGATAAATAATACTTTTTTCATTTTATTTACATCAGGGCAATTTATAAATGTTATTCATAGTGCTAGGATGTAATATCAAATGAAAAGTGATCGTGAAACATTGACAAATAATCAGTCAATCTTGTTGAGCCAGTTGATTTCTACGGGACCTCAGAAATGAACAAATATTATAACTCCGTGTTATAATTTCTATACGGCGACCCTGCGGCGAGTGAAAAACTGGATACGCCGTACGGAGTCCATAAGGCAAGCGTAGTTTTCCTACGCACAGGCACTGTAGCCCCTTTAAACATTATCCTCCGTCAATAGAAGATACACTCACCTCCATAAGTTGAATTTTTATTTACTTAACCGTCGATGAAATAACTATAATATTGATGGAAACGTAACTTGACTTTATTTCCAATACCTTCAAATTTTATCAATTTTTTTCCTAAATTACAATAGGTCGAAAATTGATGATAAATTTGATGACTTTTTGAAAATCGTCATTCCCATGTCATCCAATGGGAAATGGTAGATTTACCGCACGTCATATGACAGAATATCCATCCATCCAAGTCCTTGCAAAATATGAGTAAGGCAGGCAATTGAATTTGCTAACTTTATTTAACAAAGAATTGATATGTTTCTTCAGGTTCAACAAAGTTACAGGGCTTTAAAGTCAAAAATGGTTTTCAAGAAAACTCTCCCATTGAAATAACACAGGAGTCGAAAAATTATTTTCAAAAATGACTTTGAAGCGCTATAAATTTAGTATTCATCAAATAAATTAAAACTTAGTGAACAAAAAAGTCAGACAATTCAATTTTTTATACCAAAAAAATTTTGCTGAATCTTTTACTGAAAAGATTCTGATTTGCCCCGAACTCTCTATTTCCCCTTGGATTATACGGGAATGACGATTTTAAAAAATTCATCAAATTTATCCGTTCAATTTTCGATCTCTTGTTATGGAGGAAAAAAATCTAGAAAATTAGGAGGTATTGGAAATAAAGTAAAGTTACGTTTCCATCAATATTATACGCTATTTCATCGTAAATAAAAATTCAAACGTAAAGAGGCTTTAACACGTAGTTCAATGGGGGAACTAAGGTTGCCAAACTTATGGAGGGGAGTGTATAAATACAACTACCGGCTTTTCACGCAAATGAGCCTACTGGGCGTTTATTTAGTAAAGTTGACGTCGTGTACATCTTTTGAAACCAAAAATTATTCTTCATTTAGGTACTCTGTTCGAGAAATAGAGATTAAATTCAAAAAGATGAAGTGAGTACATGGCGAAAATGAAACTTCTTGCGAATTGGAGAACATCCAATTTGATACGAGGACAGCCTGTCTTCGTTTCCAGTTAATCCCAAGTGATTACGTTTAGAATGTTTTGTTCTTTTACATTTTACGATTTGATAAGAGACAGAGACTAAGAAATTAAATGCGACGAAACATTTTGACAACGTAATATGTGTACTGTTTATTCTTTAAAGTTTTATGCGTTAACTTATTTTATCGGTTTCAAAATGTTTCATTTTATTTTGCCTATATAAAATATATTGAATAAGATAAGATCAACTGTTCCATAATATATATTGTGTTTTGATGACCTTTTTTAGAATCACAATGTAAAATAAATCCCCCGTTCCTGTCATTCTGGTAACGCCGTGTAATGGATGCAATTCAAAGTGAGAGAGAGATCTATACATCAGAATGCATCCATGCCATTAATTTTGCCAAATACATGACATGAAACTGGCTTGAGGTGCGTCCCCCTTTATCTGGTAAAGTATGACTAAATTTTTCGGACAACTGGGTTTCGGAGAACTGGGTTTCGGAAAAATGGGTTTCGGACAACTGGGTTTCGGACAACTGGGTTTCGGACAACTGGGTTTCGGACAACTGGGTTTCGGACAACTGGGTTTCGGACAACTGGGGTGCACCCGTTTCAACCAACCTTTCCACTTTTGTTGTATCGAAGAATATATTGGCAAGATTATTGATGTCAAGTTTGATGATGTCATTGGTTATGGATAGCAATTAATCCAATCCAAAATAGGATTAACTTAATTCTAATTTTGAAAAAGTATTGTAAAGATCCATTATATAATAATTATTGATTTAATTGTTTATCTGTTTATCATTCTTGTCTGTATCACCAGGTTCTGAGGAACATAGTAATCGTAAGAAAGGTTCAAGAGGCAAAGTTTTAGCTGAACACGACCAAAAGCTCGCTTCCCTACAGAGGGCGCTGGAGAAGCAACAGAAACGACAAGAACGTCAACAAAGAGTATGTCAACAAATTCTAACATGATTATGATGTCACAACCATAAGAACTAGGCCCACTTATATTTTACTAGGCTAAAACCACAATCTTTTGACTGATATTTGGGATCTGGCTTTATCTGTCACCATCTGTAACAATTTGTTGCATTTTTGTAACCATTTGTATTAACTTACCTGTTTGTCACATTCCCCTTTGTATTTTTGTGAATGCATGTGAAGTAGTGCAAGGATTTAATTGCTTGAGGAGTATTAAAATTGTAATTTTAGTCGAGTCGTGAATTCTCAAATCCAAAGGTAAAGATTGGTATTGGTTTCATTTTTACAGCAATTAAAAAAGCAACAGCGTAAACTTGCAAAAGCAAGAAAGAGATTAAAAGAACAAGAAAATCAGAATAAAAATGATGGTACCTATGCAAGGTTATTGGCTGACTACCATAGACTACTTGATGATGCTACCAAGAATAAATCACCAAGACAAAGTGTAAGTTCGGTTTTTAAGAATTACAAATGTTCTTCTTTAAAATATGAAATAAAAAGTGCTTTGATAGTAGAATTTTGAAGCAATTTTGAATTAAATTACATTAAATTATATTATGTTGTGCCAATGGTGACCTCTGGTGAAAGTCTAAAAGAAATAGATTATTAGTATTAGGAAGTCTGTGTAAAATTCCCCCATTACTAATTGACCACCCCTTGTATTTTATCAGTGGTAGCTGTATTAATAAGTATTAATCATCTATAGGTTTTAATTGTTCTGTATGTCTCTATTTTAGGAAAGTCGAGGTGACCTCACTGACAGATGGGTTGAAGAGCACAAATCACAACCCAGTGAGGATGGGAGGGGACTCCATGTTCAGATATCAACTGAAGAAGACAAGGAGTCCATTATGCTGACTGATGGAGAGAAGGGTCTTCTCATATGTAAGTGTATAAATACGAGGGGTGATCATAAAGTTGTCATAACATTTAGTTTTTAATTTTTTTTGAATGGATGATGATATTTTCACAGAATGTGCAATAGCCCCTGAGCTGCTCTGAAAAAATGAAGTGTTGATGTCTGGTACTCCACCCCAAAAGGAACATACCGTTTGAAAGTTCTGACTTCTCTTATAAAAAATACTTTTTGTTTTGATTGAAAGTGGCTTTTGCCTCTAAATGGGGTCACACAAGGTTGCCTTCTAGAACAACTTTTCATATACTTTTTATATGTATTTTTCTACTTTCTAAAAAGAATTAAGTACTTTTGATAAGAGAATACAGAATTTGGAAAATGTCAAAATGATGGTCCCCACAAACATCTGCAATAGTAAAAAATCTCAATGGCGCAATGTTTTGGCTTCTCTACATTTTAAGTACATGTAATAAAAAAACATCTAGATATCTCTGATTGTTTTCTGAATTCTGCTATTATGTGCCGTTTTCATCTTATGCTCCTTTCCATTTGTACTTTAGCTCGAAATCAGCCAGACTTTACGCCCCCTGCATTGTTAGAGTTACGAAGGTCCCTGCCAAAACTGAAGGAGGGGGAGGAGGTTTTGGCTCGCTGGGGAGATGAGGGCTGGTATTACAGAGGTATGTTTTGAGAGATTACCTTGTTAAAAATCTTCGTATTAATCAGAAGTCTTGTGTGTGGAAATAAAAATTTATTGTTGAATAATCCAATTTGCCATATGTGGAAAGGATTGAAGCACCAGACTCAATATCTTGTATGCGGTATGTATCACTCACTAATTTGGGTTCTAAATTTAAACCTTGAGTTTTAGTCTTGGTTTAAGGCATGTAACAATTAACTTGTATGAGACTGGTGCCTCACACATAGCTAGCTAGGCAAGGTGTGTTTGATTCCGGCCAATCCAAACACAGTATTTCAGTATTATGACAGCAGTGCATGAAATAATCAATAACGCACTCAAGGTCACTAGTTATTAAACAGTTGTCATGGTGATGAATAGACTTTTCACATTGGTTTTGATGACTTGACCCTTGCAAAAGATTCCATTGAAAATGTTTTCTTTAAGTGATTTCGTTCCTTTTAGCATTGTAGCTGCTTCATTCCACTCAGGTGTTGTTTCATAAATTTTGCATTCCCGCTGCAATTTGGAAACAACACCTTCATGGTATGATTCAGCAAACAGTCCAGCAAATGAGCCCTGGGCTTAAATCCTTAGGCTAAGTATGGTAAATTGAAAAAACATAACCTTCCAGGTACCTTGAGGCAAGACTGCGAAGATTACAGTTACTTTGTTGAGGATAGTGTTGGTGATTTGGAGAAAATATGGCGAGAAGACATCATTACTGACAATGATGACGCTGGCAATGTACTACAGGTATGGACCATGTTTGAAGAACACATCTCAGAGCCCCAAGATAAACTGATTTAATGTAAAATGAACCTCTATAAGTGTGACACCTCCCAAGTGGAACATGTTTCATGCATTAAATTTTATCTTTATTTTATTTGGCAAATTTGACAATGGTCTCACTGTTATTTATTCTTTCAGTACAAAGATCCAGTGATTGGCCTCCACCCTAGTTACGCCTTCAGTTATGCCCCAGGGATTATAGTTGAGACACACAAAGACCTCTGGAACACAATACGCTTCTACGATGGTACAGAGGCTAAGACACCAAGGGAAGAAACTTTTAAGATTTCCCGGGAAAAGTTTGAGTTTGATGTTGCATATATTCTGAGCTGTGAAGACCAATGGGTGGGTCAGGCTGTGGTTGCTAGGAACGACGCAACAGGGACATACCATCTAGGTAAAAAATCATTATTGTATGTTTTCACTTTTGGGGTTCTTCAGAGTTCAGTGATATCAGGCACAAATGGTCAAAATACATGAAAAAGGTGCCATCGCCCTGAAAATTAATGTATTCAAGATTATTCTTTTGCCTTTTAAATAAAAAATAAATAATCTCATCATTTCAAAGCTTTAAAAGGTAGGATTGATCTGATTGTAAATTCAATGATAAATGTGCATACAGGAAAACCTGTATATCCAAACACCTCTCTAATCTGAACTTCTCTTAGTATGAACACTTTTTCCAGTCACAACTGCCATAGATTACCATTGTAAAAATATGAACACCTACCAAGCAGAGATTATGTCTCTGTGCCAAGGTTTTCCTTTACATGTATTTCTAATTACATTTCATTTTTATGTGCATTTGAAACAATAAATAATATTCACATAATACATGTATACAAATTATTTCCAGGCTCTATTCGAGAGAAAATTGGCAACAATCGACAATATGTCATAGAATGGTCTGATGGGTCGTTATCTGTTCAAAGCGCCACCTTTATATTTGGAGCAATTACCAAACGTCACCCACTAGCCATTGGGGATCGTGTATTAGCCATCGCTGATGAGTCGCAACTCTTGTATCTTCCTGGCTGGATCACGGACAGTGATGGAGAAAAATTGACAGTGAAGTTCGCAAATAAACAGAAGTAAGTCTCAAAAAAGCAAATGCTGATAGTCCAATAGCTAGGTTTTGTCAAGGGGGTTCGATTTTTTAAAAACTCCAGGGGGTTCACATTTAACTATTTTGGCCCAAAATCACTTGAGAAGTACTCAGAATGGTGAAAAACTGCATGATTTTAAAGAAATTTGCTTGCACCCCTTCAAGGGGTTCAAGGGGGCAAGCAAACCACCCCCCCCCCCCTGCCTATGGGCCTGAGTGATAATAGCAGACACCAGCTCTTAAGCAATCAAGTTAGGGACTTTTAGATATTGGAAGTCAAGTACGGTAACAGGCATTTTTCCTGGAATCGCAATGACAAGATTTAATCATAAAATTAATCAAGAGCTAATCAGCTCTCGCAACTGATACCAGTATGTGATATCATCATGAAAAATGCCATCATACCATCTCACATTTCTAATATAATATCAAATTTTGAGGAAATCTGAAACTGATCCTCTATCCCTCAAGTCGTGTGATAAAACATGAAGGCTCGATTGGGTTAGTTTTCATTATAAAACATATGATTAATATAAAAAATGCAACTTCTTGCACTTACTATTTATAATAATTTATTATATTATCATATTTTTATTACATAGAATGTTAAAAGTATTAATTTAGAAAATAAATTAATTCATATATTTGAAAACATGTTTTTGCTTTCAGAAGTGATGATGTTGACCCGGTGCAATGTTTTTGGCTATCGCAGGATTACTATGACAATGCTGTGTCTTATTACAAGAGTAGGCAGGCTGAATAGTAAATGTGTTACTATGACAATGAGTAAATATGTTGCTATGACAATAAATAAACATATCACGGGACTTACCACGAGTATGCAGGATGAAAAGAGGACATGCCACTATGGCAATTGTTAAACATAATTTATGGTTACCATGACAGTACTACATCATATTGTTTATTACAAGGGTGTACAATTCAATTGTAGAGGAAGCAGAGTCTCTGCTCAACTGCTCAACTCTCCTCCCGTTACCCACTTTGGTAGATACAGTGCATTAAGATGTGTTCCAGTTGTATATTCCTAGGTTCCTGTTGATTAAAGGGTTCCGATTAGCATCCCGTATAAAAACAATATGGCGGCTCCAGGCGAATCAACTGGATCAGTCCATTTTTAAGAAATAAGGGGAGTTCTGTAAAATGCAGTTTATTGAAATTGTCTTTGAGATAAAGTAATCCGTTTATAATGATTTTGAAAACGTTATCCAAAGAGTGATTGCGTTCAAAGAATACATGTACAACAACCAATATAAATCCTTGTATTAGAAACCGGTTTGTCTTGCTTTGTTTCATTTGTAGGATATTTCATATGCCAAGCTGTGTGCTATTACGTTATGGGGAAATTTAGATGCCAATTTTTCCTTATTGTACACAAATAGAAGATCCTGAAACTTCACCCATAAATGTGGAATTGATTTGTCAAAATAAAAATCACCCTTTTATAAATGTGTGACGATCTATAATATACTTATGCCATATAACAGTTAGAGGTGTTGACACAACGACCTCGAACCTGTGAACCCTTGAGTAATATTCCGGGATCGGGCCTTTTATACTAAACGGTGAGCAACACCAGAAACGAGCGTTCGATTTGTCAAACGATATGCGTCACCCTTTAAACATAAATGTAATTCCAAACGAATGCAACATGTTACTATGGTTACCATAGCAACCTCTGTCAAATGTGCCAGAACATTGAAGTCTTATTAACATTGAAACATTGATAATGAGGGAAGAAATCTTCTCCACATCCTATGGTCAGATCTTTCTGTATTTAAATGGACACAAAATTGACCAAAGTAAACATTCATGATATTGGAGTCATAGTATGCTTGATGATAATGAATAAATTATAAAGGATAGTTGGACAATCCAAATTTCTACTAATCATGTAATTTTATATATGCTATTTGAACAAATGTTTTTGAAGGGTTTTACCTAAATCATCCTCAACGCTGTGTTTATATTCTTTTTATAAGCCTAAATGGTGCTTTTAAATTGCTTTATAAAATTGATTGGACTTAACACTTATATCTGCATTTTGGATAAAAATGATTCAATTGCCAATATTGAGATTTAATTAAATTAATATTTCGTTATACTATATGATGAAATGAATTTTATAGAAATTTTTTATTTGTACAAATATATATTGATGATTGTAAATATGTACAGTAGAAATTGTATATAATTATTTTACATGGAATAAATCTTACAATAGTTGTAAAAATATTGATTTTTTAAGAAGTCTTGTAACTGATTATGGGATTCTTAAGGCTATATGTTATATATCATTTGAAAGCTTGTGTAATTCTGGACATACTGAAACAAATTTTGTTCAACAATTTTTACAACTTACTACCTATTGATAAAAGGGTACCGATTCAACCTTGGCATACAATCTGAATTAGGCCACCGTTTTTCAAAACATCGATTTGCGGCGTATCTTGCAAACAGTTTTTATAACCATGCCTCAGAACACTATAGTAATGTCATCGTGGTAAGCCACGCCTCCTCCATCTCCGTCCTTCTACGATGCACAGTAAGAGAGATGCTACTAACATCAGAATGTAGTAATGTATGACATCGATTGAACGAACAAGTAAAACTTTATGAATTATTATAATGATTACTGAATCAACACGGTACAGTTTATCGAATATATCAACGTATGCAGAAGTATCACTCACCAATCTCACGTAATAAACTTACCCAATCAATCCAAGATTCATATATTAGTACTCGACGCACTAAAAATATTGTTAATCTAGCGTAGTTTTACATTTAAAGTCTATTCTCGCAACCAAGCAAACCACGTCTTTCTGTATCACGTTTTCACCTGCGGAATATGTCATATTCACCTGCTGTATATGGCATATTCTGCAAGTGAGTATGACATATTCTGCAGGTGAGTATCGGGTATTCACTGAAATATCAATGTATCGCATATTCATTGCGGAATATCGCATACTCACCTGCGGAATATGCCATATACCGCAGGTGAGTATGGCATATTCACCCGTATCACAAATACCGCGCAACCATGTATGCCATATTTTGCGTAACAATATGAATTCAGTGAAGTTTTTTCAAATAGCTTTGATTTACACAGTTATGTCATTTAAATCATTTTCAACGACATTTTTAAAAACTTTGGTCAAATCTCTATTTGTGCAATGCTAAAATTCATTAAAACCAATATTTTCAGGTTTAATCACAATATACACATTGACTGATTGACAAGGTCATCCATTAGTATGCCATTCGAGTTTTAGACAGATTGAACCAACATTTTTTGATAAATCATGAAATTAAGTGACTATTACACGTTTCTAGCATTGACGTGAATTGAGATCTGGCCCAAGAAAAACAAAAGACAAAAGAGGGAGACATCTATAGTCTGTCAGTTTTATTTAGAAACTACACTATTGAATATGTTTTTCGAATCAAGAAATTAAGGTATTTGTGTCTGGTGTTTCCATATTATAAACAGTAGTCTCGCATGACCAAAACCTCTTCCATATATTTTCAGTAAAACATGTATATAGTTTACACCTGTGGAGCCACAAATAAGTGTTCATTGTAATTAAGTGTTCACTACGGGGGATTTTATACAAGTCAATGTAAAATGCGTCTTGAAGTTGTGTTCATTAAACGCAGGTGTTAACTAGAGAGAGGTATTCATCAAGTCATGTTTTACTGTTTCAATATAGCAACTCTATCAATCACTAATTTAAATCCGAATTCTGTTCCAGCATGGGTTCAATTTCAGTAATATTTTCAAAGAACTGAAAAATATTTATATTGAAACAAGTAGTATGCCATCTATTGACAGACTAAATCTTTAATACAATTGTGTAGTGGATTTGCCAATCATTTCATTATTTATTGTTTCATTATTATATAAAATAACACAAGAGAAAAGTGACAAATTTTATTTATAAAGGAATATGAAAAGGTTTTCATATTGTTCAGTCATGAGTCCTGATAGAACCTGAATCGATTTGTAAACTGTTTAAATTCACATTAAGACATTGACAAGCAACACACAGATTATGTTTGTAATACAGATGTTCAATAGTAGTAAACAGTAAAGTATTCAATTAATCATGTTTATTGTGCACAATCATGTTATATATACAGGGTGGGCCAAAAGACACCCCCTTAGCCAATATTCCTGATAAATATTTATTTTTAACAAAAGCATCAACTATGATACAGCGTTTTGAGAATAATTTAATTTTCAACAAAATGATATACATGTATAATAGTACCATTTTCAGCAACCCCATATAGAAATATAACCAATTATGTGACATGGTGGTAAAACACCTTTTCAATTTTCATCGATTTTGCGAACAATAGACTATTTCAACGAATTTTTACTGTTCAGTTAAAAATTCAATCAAAAGTTCTGGTTAACTGTTTGACGGATCAATTTCACATAATCTCAGGGGTGGTTCTTAGTGTCTTCAACTTTTTGTGGACGGTGTTCGGCGGTTCGCCAGTTGGTGTTTGGTGTCCAGCGTCTGTAACAAATGACAGGTGGTGACATCAGCATGTTAATGCCTTGTGTTTTTAGTCATGATATATATATTATGCTGCCAAGTGATTGACGATTAGCTGTGGATGATAGGCGGTTATTATAAACGGCTTTACGTATTATAAAACACTTTCTATTAAATCCAGTGTATCGTTAACATTCTGGTTCAGGGTGGCGTTTGAAACATCTTGTTTTTGTTTTGTCAGAAGAAACGGACATTAATAATTTGTTTTATATCATAAATGCATATTTTATTTTTGATTGAGCAACCAATCATAGTGCACATTTATAAACCATATAATGTTTTTTATGTTATCAAGAATTAATTAATGTGCTGTCTGTTTGATCACAACTTGCTGATGTTCTTTCAAAAGGACAAGTCTCGGTTTGGAGAAGAGTCTCCTGGGCTACTAATTTTTAATGAAAAATATAGAAATATCACCCAAATTAAATTATGAATATTCAAAAGAGGACATTTAAATCTACAAGATGTAAAAATATCACAATTGTCCAAAGCAGGGGTAATGTGCAGAAGACCGATTCAATCAAATACAAGTCTCGATTTGGATAAAGTAGATCATCGGTGTATTGCGCTAATGATCTTTTTTATGAAAAATCTAGAAAATCACCCAAATCAAATTATGACTATTCAAAAGAAGACATTCAAATCTATATCATGTAAAAAATCAAATTTGTCCGAAGCAGGGTAACGCTCAATTAGAGTGATGAACTTCGTTCTCCAAACCGAAAATAGTACATTCGCTTGGCTAATTTTCTGTTTCAACATGTTTCTTAATGTCAAAATCTTCTGTTGTGGACTATTTCTTCCTGGGGCGACTGCAAAACACCTCAACATACTCCCTGAAATAAATCAAATCGACTACAGAAGTGAGAGAAAACAATTTGAATGAACCTTTAGGCTATGTATAAATACCATGGACTCACTTTTATAGAATCACTCTAATGTACTTTTCATGCTTTTCGAATTCTTGCCTTAAAGCTTTCCTGATTTCATTGTGGCAACATACCTCTTTTACTCTACATTGCCCAGTTCAGCGGATATCTCCTGTGTCAATGCCATGATTTCTCCCTTGTGTTGGGTATCACCGGGTGCCTTTTTAATGAATGCCTCGCCACGTTTCTTTGCTTCTGTGAGGGCCTCCTTTGTCTTGATGCGTTTGGCTACACGCATGATGCCTTCACACGACCGGCCGTATTTCTTCAACCATCCACCATTTGCACTCTAAAAGGACATTCACTAAACATAATATTAACACTGTTCAAAATCACCTTTCATCAAAAACTGGTAATCATTTTCTCGAGCAAAAAATTAAAGTTAATTATTAGTACTTAAAAATTGACCTCTGACCTTTGACCTCTCGATGGCCTCTTTGTAGTATTCATACGCCTCTTGCCAGCATTTGGCTTCCTCATAAAATTCAGCAGCTACCACATGGACATCCGATCCTCTATGCAGTTCCTGTTCTTCCCTCTCTTGTGAATGTAGTAGCTCGCTTTGCTTCTTGATAGCCTCCTTGCCTTCTCTTATCACAATCTCTTTCTTTTCTTGGTCGGTTTCCAGTTTTAGTATCTTCATACAGATAAAAATACCCTTTTCGAAACAAACACATTGGTGGAAGAAGTCATTTTTGGTGACTTTAAGAATCCCATGTTGGAACCAATCTTGCTTGTGTACCTCCTCAAGTAGGCTCTGGTACTCCTTCTTTCCTTGGTACAGGTCCTCAAGCATCTTTTGTTTGGTTTTTGCATCACCATACTCGTCAATGTCCTCCGAATACAGGTAAAGTAGGGCATTGCGTTTAGTGAGGATACTGTGAAACACTACCTTGCCGGTCATCTCGAAGATCCGCTTACAGAGAGCAGACGACAGTCTAATAGCAGAGATAAAGCTGTTGATTTTGACGCGTCCCTCTTGTTTCTTGTAGAAGTACATACGACCATAGCTGTAGAAGACCGATGCATAGAGCTCGGGTAAGTAAATGGATTTCATGATATCCTCGGAAATAGCTAAGCCCATTTTGACAAGTTCAGTGTAGCTCCCTCTATCGGTTCTTTTCTGAGAGATGAGCAATTCAGGTAATTTGTTCCCCTTTATTTTGGACTTCATGATATCGACGTCAGTTTCATTGAGGACTGTGTTCAGAACAAGGTTTTCCACCAGTTTGTTCCCAACGGATTGTAGTTTCTCATATATGAAGATTGCCTTCTGATATGCGAATTCCTCTTCGTCATTTTTGTGTTCATCGGGAAGCTTAGCTCTTATATCCAGGTCTAGGTCTTCTTCATCAATATTCAATGACTTGTACATCAAATCTTTGCTTGTTTGAAGCTTCTGTTCTGCAACTTCTCTAAAGTCACTCTGCGCGTAAGAATACCCCAGTATGTCATACATAGCGATAGCCATTACTTTCATATCAAATGTGATGTCCATAACGCTCAGCCTCTGTAAATGTACTAAGACACTCTCAACATGGGGCATAAGAATAGTGTTTCTCCTAAAGTAGGTCATGTATCTTGTGTCCTTGGCAAAGAAACGCAACAGCACTCTCATCAGTATCTCAAGGGTCTTTTTATTGTCAGACTCCTTCATTGCAAAGCGTACTCCAAGTTGTACCAGTTCATGTGTGTCGATAAATCGGTTACGGTGTTTTTCTTCTTGACGGTTGACGTATGACCTGTCTCGCATTTTCATCAAAAGCTTGTCTATATGATAATCGATGTGTTCAACGGGTTGAGACGGGTCGCTATGCTGTTTAAGGATTTCATTCAGTATGAAAACGGGAATGGCTTTAGAATCGAAAAAGCCAATGGTCTTGAAAACCAAACACAAAGCAGGGTCGTCCTTTTCCAACTCTTCGATCATGGTCAGCGCGTTCTGAACATGGGCTTCAATTGGCGGCTTTTTGTAGTTATGGCCCAGGATAAGATGGTCCCTTTTTTCGATGCTCTGGTAAAGTTTCCTTTCCTTGATCCCGGCAAGATAAAACTTTATGCTCCTCTGTGTGTTGAGGATATCGAATCTTGCGCAGGCGAGCGCACTTGGAAGATGACTCATTTCTTCCCAAAGCTGAATCTTGTTCTCTCTTGTTTCATTCTTCAATGGGTCCAAGAACTCCAGCACCTCATCTTCGCTGAAGCCTTCCACTTGTTGTATTGACTCATCAGTAGCAGATGGATGCAGGGTTTGCTCGGTGGTTATTATCACAGATATATTAGGTTTTGAGGCGAAACCTTGTACAATAGCGCGATGCGTTTCCTCTTTGACGTCATCAAAAATCAGCAGATACCCCCGGTTAGTATTGCGGCGTATTTCCAAATGGATCTTCGAAAGAACATTCGGCAGCGGAAGATCCTCTGTAAGATCCACATTTATATTTATCTCAGCCAGTCTCTCCAGAAAGAGTCGTATTGCAATTCTTAATTCCTGGTCCGTTTCACTGGGTATGAGCCATCCAACATCATAGTCGGCCTTCTTTGTCTCCCAATAATATTTTGCTATTTCTGTTTTACCAACTCCACTCAATCCTGTAGAATACGTAGAAACAATTCTTGTAATTATAAGTCTAAAGTATATAATCAGTATATTTAATACACTAGTGCCTATTTCAAACGCACAGACACGATACACTCGTGTAATTTATTGATTGGACATGATTTTTACTAAGTTGAGATTGTCCCTATTGCGGGATAATTTCGAAATAATTTCCTGTTTAAACTGTTAAAATGATGTACAATGAGGAATTTGGAAACACTGAACCATGGGTTGTAGGCTACCAGTATGATAAATATATGATTATGTGGAGATAAAAATGGCAAACTTATCTAAACGTTTTTGAAGGAGTACGCCCATTTGTCAAATTATACGAAACAATTTTACCTGTTAGTGTAACATAGTTTTCTCTTTTCAAACGATCCAGACACCTTGTCAAATCTTGGGTTTTCCGGAAATCTTTGACATTTGCAGTGATATTGGTGATCACACCTAAAATGCGATATTTAATGAGATAATTACTATTGATATAGGATATTAGTGATTATTACATTATAATAACAAGTGCGTGATACAGGGGTTGCCATTTTAGTAAAGGGTGTAAATACGTTTCTGTGCTTGATACAGGGTATATTTAATGGAAAAGGTTAAATTTTGATGTTGAATTATTGGTGTCTATCATATATTTAAGAACTGCCATCTATATATGAATATAAAGTTTAAATAACTAACGTGAACAAAAGATTAATGAGATTCTGATTGTTTTGTTCTGAGAATGCTGCTGCCATCTTTGAATAAACTCTAAATTATCAATGATATAATTATAATCTATTGTGATAACGAACACCTCCCAATCTGAATGTTTTTAACTGCACAGTGGCATTTGGATTAGACAGGTTTTACTGTATGAGTAATAGTAATACTGAAATTTAAAAAAATCTGAAGGCCTAGTCAATCTATTTTGGGAAATATTCTCAGCTATTTGAAATGAAGATCAACTTTGTAAGAAGTCTCTATAATTATTTTTTTGATTTATACAATAACATTATACTCAACTTTAGTTCAAATTCCAATGCTCTGGCCTTGGCTAATCAAAACAGTTCATTGCAATTGTTTCATCAATCATTATATTATTATATTAATATATCATAATTATTTCACATGCAAATACTGTACTGCCACTAATATTTGATGCTGTTATCTTTCACAATTTTGCAATTTTGAAATTTTGCGGATATCAATTTTCGCTAATTATAAATTTTTTATAATTTTGTATCTATTTCTTTCACCATCATATCATTTCTCAAAAAAATTTCCAGCTTATTTGATTAAATGTTTTTAAAACCAAGAAATATGAATGAAACAGTACCTTCTTACCTTTAATTATTGCTATACCATAAACTTAAAGCCTTTACATGACACCTATCAGCTATCACCTGCTTCAAAAGCATAGGTGAAACTAAACTATTGAAATCAAGTGCTCACTTTAAATTTTTTTTATATTTTCTGTTTGGGAAAATCTGTTAGTTATCAGCTGCATTTTTGTCAGTCAAGATTTCTCTAAACCAAATCAAATCCAAGGAATGTTTAGTCAAATATCCAGTTGTTCAGGAATCGAACTCAATTCAAAGAATGATTAGTTCCATAGTGTAAACATATACAACTTTGAACAATATTGGTATCAGCCATTATGTTACATTAAAAAAAACAGAATGTAAAACTGTAAAAGACTTTCATATAAGCAGGAAATTTCTTGAAAGAATACTAAAGGTTTCGCAACAGAATTTAGACGGTCATATGTTGAATTGCAGAAATTTTCTGAAAATGTAAGGTGTGTATGTTAGGCCAATGCATTATCTAAAGGAAAAGTACTCATACAGATGATAAAAAAATTGGAGATTGAGACAGGGAAGGTGCAAAGACCCCATCAACATTTTTTTCAAAAATGTTTTCCTGATTTTCAGTTCCTTCCATTTTTTTTATAATGTTTTCACATTAATATGTTGCATTTGTAGACAAAGTTAACATACTAAAGAGAAAACATTTTCCTTTTAAGAGTTTATTTGTGTCTCCAAATGCAACATACTGATGCATAAAACATTTATAAAAATTGAGTAGAAGGGGAAATTTTAAATTCAACGAACATATAGGCCCACTGAGCATTTATTTTGCACAGGGCCTTTATTAGAAAGAACTCAAAATAAATGCCATTGGCTTTTATTAAGACTAAGAGGGAAATTGAAAACATTTTTCCAAGGGGACAGGCATTTATTAAGAGGGAAAATAGCTTTCCCAAGCCAGTGGGTGTTTATTTCGAGGCGTATTATCAATCGAAGAGTTGACACATGGCCTTCATATACTCATGCAATAGTATCTATCATCTCTGATTGCACACTTCTGTTTTACCTTTCAAGCATTCGATTTGGATTTTGGAATGTCATAAAGCTATGCGGTCAAAAGTAATCTTAATACTTTTTAGTGAAAATGCATTTATATTTTTAAAATGCAGAATCTTGCGAATGCAAAATCCTCGAAATCCGATCACCTCCACATCTGAATGTTTTTTTTAACCGGTCATGGTGTTTTAACTGGTCATGGTGGCATTTGGATTAGACAGATATTACTGTATAAGTATTAGACAGATATTACTGTATAAGTATAATAGTATTACTGGAATTCCAAAAAATCATAACGCCTACAATGCTAGTAATATTAAGTGAAAATGCATTAATATTTTTTCAAAATCAAGAATCTTTCGGATGCAAAAACCTCGAAATCAGACGTTTAAATCTGAATGTTTTTAATTTGTAGCGGTGGCATTTGGATAAGACAGGTTTTACTGTATAAGTATAATAGACATTAATAGTATTACTGGAATTCCAAAAAATCATAAGGCCTATAGCAACAATCATGTGAACTTCAGGTCAAAATTCCAATGCTCCCTTGGCCAATCAAATCAGTTCATTGCATTTGTTTCATCAATGCTCTCAATATCATAATTATTCCACATGCAAATACTGTACTACCGGTTAATTTGCGAGTTTAAATTTCATGAATTTTGAGAAATACCAATTTTGCGGCCATTAAATTTTGCGGATATCAAAGGTTTAACTTCCATTATTCTCTGAATCCTCAAAATTAATTTATCTTATCTACAGTAATTACACCTACCCAATATCATATACTTTGGATAAGATTTACAATCTCTAGATCTTAGTCAATGGCATGTTGCACCTCAGCCTTTAATTGGCGATATTCGCGACTATTAATTTTCGTGATTTTTACACAATCGCGAAAAGCACGAAACTAAATTGCACGCGAAAAATATCGGGAGTACAGTACATTGAAACCATACACTCTTATATTTCATAAGAATTTGCAATCAAGCCTAACAAATCTATTGGCAAAATATTAGAAGGCCAGCAAATGTACACATGCTAAAGTGATGAAACTTTAATGAATTTTAATTTTGCCTATACTGAGATGTGTTAAACTCTATTTGGGTTAGATTTATTCGGCTACACCCTCTACTTACAGCCTTAACGGGGGGGTGTATAGGGGGTCTTGGAAGTCCATATACAATATTTTTCAGCCCTCTTATACCATATACAATATTTTTTCACCATATACAATATTTTTTGCCTCTCTTATACCATATACGATATTTTAGGTGAAATACAATATACGATAATTTTGAAACTGCTGTTGATTAATGTTTGGATATTTATAAGGAAATAATATTAGGAGGGAATCCATGTACTACCAAATATATTATTATGAGGCAAATAGACTGCACAGTGCACATAATTAGACCACAATAATTCCATTTTATACATTATCAACAATATTCATTTTGGACACAACCCCATGGTCAAAAATTCTGTAACTCCATATTATTGTCAAGTAGACAAATTGTACAACTTAATGTACTTCTTTCTTATGACTTATGTCAATTGCATCCTTCATAGTGAGTCAGGGAAATGATTCTTCTTTCCTTGTGAACACAATTGATTCAAAAATGAGAATGTGGAACCATGGGCTTTCAATTAGAAAGTTGAAAGCCCATGGTGGAATGAAAGACTGTATGATTCATCATGACATTGTATTCTTTAAAAAATAAAGTTTATTGCGGCAAAGTATGTACAAATAAATCTGTCAGGTAGATAGTGAAGATACAAAATGTACAATAATTTGGCAAAGCAGCCACTAACCTGTAAAAATGTTTTAAATGTTTGAAAATACAAAACAATATTACTGACTCCTTAAATAATTCATTTCCACATAGAAGTTTTGTTTGCCAGTTTCAATAAAATGTTTAAAAATTGGTGACCTACTTCTTTTGAAACTACTGAAAGTAGATCACTGAAACTTCTCATTTTTAAACATCTCTACACTCTTGTCTTGTCTATAAAGTGTATTCTTTGTGGACAATGTTGGATCAAGTTATTAATAATTGAAAGTAGCATGACTTCAATGAGGATTGCCAAAAACATACTGGCTTACCTTAACAATAGTAAATAATAGTTAGCCTACATATAATATCAATTGATTTCATAATTATGTTCAGGGTGTTTCATGATGAATGTCCTCCCATCCAAAGTCAATCTCTTTATATCATAAAAAACCTTATACAGTATGGATTTATGGGTCACATACACATGTATCGTCATGATCGATAAATGGGAACATAATTTGTGAAGTTATGTTTGGAAGTAACTGTTGCATTTAGCAAGGTACAGTGTTGGTGTTTGAGAAAAGGTTGCATTTAGATTATGTATTTAGAAATGGGTACCTTTTTGTAGAGATGTTTAGCAACACTGATCAACTGAATCAGCTTTCACATGCTATATGATAGGTTATAAATTATAACAAGGCATTAACATGACAAAATGTCACCACCTAAAACAATTTGGTCAATTTAAAGCAAGTTGGAAAATACCTTTTGACCTTAAGAAGGTTTGATTTGAACTTCTTAGAACATGTAGATGATTTTGAAAAAAAGATTCGTCAATTTGAAGCAAGTTGAAAAAATACCTCTTTGACTTTTTTTGACATTGAGAAGGTCATTGAAGGTCAAATGTCAAATGTAAAGTCAGATTTGAACTTCTGAGAACATGTAGATGATTTTGAAAAAAAAATTAAGTAAATTTGAAGCAAGTTGAAAAAAGACCTTTTTGACCTTGAAAAGGTCATTGAAGGTCAAATGTCAAATCTAAAGTCAGATTTGAACTTCTGAGAACATGTAGATGATTTTGAAAAAAAAATTAGTCAATTTGAAGCAAGTTGAAAAAAGACCTTTTTGACCTTGAGAAGGTCATTGAAGGTCAAAGGTCAAATCTAAAGTCAGATTTGAACTTCTGAGAACTTTTAAAGTCAAATTTGAACTTCTGAAAAGATGTAGATGATTTTGAAAAAAAAAATTGGTCAATTTGAAGCAAGTTGAAACAGACCTTTTTGACCTTTTTTGACCTTGAGAAGGTCATTAAAGGTCA